CCTAGCACTAGACCCAGCGCTAGTCCAGCACTAGCCCTAAAGTAACCCAACACAAAAACATAGTGAATCCTAAACCCTAAATCTAAACTGAAATCTAACCTGAAACCTAGTGAAATCCAGAATTCAACCTTAACTCTAAATCTAACCATGAACATGGTGGAACCCTAGCTCTGGCCATACTCTCCCAGTCCTGTTGCTAGCCCTAGCCCAAGCCCTAGCCCTAAAACTGGCCCTCACAATAGGCTTATCCCTAACCCTGGGGCTATCACAAAAACTAACACTAAATCTAATACTAACACTAACTCTGGTGGAACTCTAACACTCAACTTATTTCTCACCTAAACCATTGGCATGCTCAATATAACACTGAAAACTCTAACGCTAACATAAACTCTTCTCACTCTCACCTAAACCCTAGAAGAACTCTAAACATAAACCTAATACTGTTTCTAACAGTCAACCTAACCTAGTCTTACCTCAAACATTAGTTCTAGCCCTAGTCCTATCATAGGCCCAGAAGTTAGCCACTATTCTAAACAAATGGTCTTCCACACCTATGAAAGGAGGCAGGACATCCAGGACCTGCCCTTCCAAGTACCTGAAGAGGGGTAGTTCATGTATGGAAGTAGCTTGGCCCAAGAAGGACATAAAAGGCAGATTATACAGTTGTCAGTCCACAAAAGGTCATTGAGGTCAAACTGCTTTCATGAGGGATTTCTACTCAAAAAGCAGACATTGTACATGTTTTTTTTTTCTTCTGGTACCACGAATCCAACTCACGACCTCGTGCTTGCCAGGAAAGCACTGTGCTGCTGAGCTAAATCCATAGCCCAGGTACTGTAGCTCTTCCTGGGGCATCCATATTCGAAAAAAGCAAAAAGAAGCTAAGTATATATACAGACTCGATATATGCTTTTCTGGCACTGCAGGCCCATGCAGCCCTCTGGCAAGAAAGGGACTTACTAATAAGCAAGCATCTATAAAGCACAAAAAGGAAATTCTACAACTCCAAGAGGCTGTATATCTTCCCAAACAAGACATTGTCATGCACTGTAAGGGACATCAGAGAGACATGTCGAAAGTCTCTTTAGGTAATCAAAAGTCTGATAGGAAGACCTTACCTCTCAAAACCTTAGTCTGATTCTCAATTCCTATGGAAACATTAAAAGCAGTCTATACTCTCCAAGAAGTTAAAGAGACCTAAGGACAAGGGGAAATAAACAAGGGACTCTGGTGATATTTAGAAAACAAATGTGCTTCCTAAAGGAACACAGTGGAAGACTATACAAAACAGGTGATGCTTCTTTGCATATGGGAAGCCATGCTACACTGGAAATGGTCACTCAGATTTTCACAGGACAAAGACGAGCAGCAACCACCTGACAGGTCTGCAAAGCTTGCCCACTCTGTGCCTAAAAGAACCCTGGCGAGCCCAAAACACCTCCTTTGTTAGAACCGGTGGAGAGGAGAGGGACAAAATTTGTGGAGGACAGACGAAAACTTGACCTATATGCCATGATGTGGGGAACTTAGGCAAATATTGGTCCTAATAGACACATTACAGTCCAGACTGAGGCCTTCTCTACCCACTTAGAAAATGCCATGGAGGTAGTAAGGTGCTCCTCAAAAATTACTCCCCAGTTTGAATTATCCAGTAACTTCTGCATAGTAATAGGCCTTCTTTTCCCTCTCAAATAACTCAGGAGGAGGCTAATGATTTTGGAATAAACTTTCATCTCCATTCTACATGAGTCCTCAGTCTTTTGGACAGGTCAAAAGAGCCGAAGAGATCTGAAAGTGAGCCCGGGCATAACTGGCAAGAAACATCTGAGTCTTGTCTCTGATGCCTGCCAAAGGCCCTCATGAAGGTCTAAATCCCAAAACTGGGCTACAAATGAGTCTGTTTGGTGTGTTATGTGGGGGACCTTTCCTATCTTTGATAGGATCTTTGATATATCAGAGACCATAAGATTTTTACAGTATCTTAATCATTTGGGCCAAGGACAACAGGTTACTCAACTGTACATGGACAGAGTCCTGTCAGCTCCACGCCCAGAGGGGATACCTAATGTCTAGCCTGGAGACCAAGCTCTCTTTAAAACTTGGAAAGAGGAGACTCCTGCAGACCAATAAAACAAAACGGAAGAGCCATTTTTCAGTGACACTTGCCACACCCACTGCAGGAAAGATGGCAGAGATAGATGATTGTTTTCAACTGCCCAGAATAAAGTCAGTCCCACTTGGACTGTCTGAAGAAAAAGACAACCCAGAAGAACTTCTGGAAAACTCTTAGCCTTAGCTCTAGCCCTAGCTCCCTGTCCTGAGCACTAAGAAGAAAGCCCTAGCTGTAGCCCCTTAGCCCTAGCATTAGCCCCCTAGACCTAGGTCTAGCCTGCTACACCAAGCTCTGCCCCCTAACCCTAGCCCTAGTCCCCTTGTCCTAGGCCCATAAACCTTAGCCCCGTAACCCCCGAGCCCACTAACCCTAGCCCTCTAGCTCTAGCCTCATAGGCCTAGCCTTTTTTGCTTAATCCTAACCCCCTAGCCCTAGTCGCCTTCTTCCTAGCCCTAGACCCTGGCCCCCTAGCGCCCTACCACCAGCTCCCAATCCCCATAGCCCCCTAGCACTCTAGCTCTAGCCCCGTAGCACTAGTCCTATCTCTCTAGCCCTAGTGTTAGCCCTAGCCCCTTAGCCCTTGCCCCTAGGTCCCTAGCCCATAGTCCCCTAGCCCTAGTCCCCTATTGCCCTATCCTTCTAGCCCCTAGCCCTGACCTGCTAGCCCTAACTCCTTAGCACTAACCCCCTAGATCTAGACCTAGCCCTTGCCCTAGTGCTAGCCCCCTAGCTCTAGCCCTAGACCTTTAGCTCTGGCCCCATAGGCATAGCCCCCTAGGCCTCCAGCCCTTAGCACATTAGCCCTAGCCCCCTAACACTCTAACCCTAGCACCAAATTCCCCTAGCTCTAGTGCTAGCACCCAAGCAATAACCAAATAGCAATCTAGCCCTAGTCCCTTAGGACCCTAGACCTAGGCCTAGCCCCCTAGCCATAGTCCTAGATCTCTAGCCATAGCCATAGCACTCAAGCCCTAGACCCAGCCCTGTAGCGGTAGCCCTCTAGCTCAATAGGCCGAGCCGTAGCGCATTAACCCTAGCTCCCTAAAGCTACCCTTAGCCATAGCCGTATCCCGTAGCCCTAGCCACCTAACAGTAGCCCCTTAGCCCCCTAGCCCTAGCCCCTGCCCACTAGTCTTTCACATCGGACCCGAGCCCTAGTCCATGCCCTACCCCAAGTAACTTATCCCTAGACCTACTCCCTTATCTCTAGTCCTTGCATCCTAGCCCCATAACCATGGCCCCCTTAGCAGTATACCACTAGCCTCCTAGCCCTAGCACCCTAGCACCAGCCTTAGCCCCATAGCCGGAGCCCCCTACCTGGAGGCCTAGCCATAAATTTAAACCCAGCTCTGACTTCGACCCTAACCCTAACCATAACCCTAACCCTAAGCCTGTGCAACCATAACCCTAAACTAACACTAACCCTAAAACCAAGTTAATCCAACCCTAACCTTTGACATAGCCCTCAACCTTAACGCTAGCCCTAAATGCAATTCTAGCTCTAACACTCTCCATGAATCAAACAATAACCTAAGCTTATGCCTACCCATAGCATCAGCCCTAGCCCTAGGTCTAGGCCTCGCCCTAAACCCTCCAGTTTAGCTTAAGTAGGGCTAAACTGGAGCCTTAGCCCTAGCATGGACCTAAATCGAGCCCTTACCCTACCTTAACCATAACCATAAACTTAGCCCTAATCTTAACAGAACTTTGGCCCTAAACCTAAACCTAGACCTGAACTTAGCAAAACCATAAACCTAGCCCTAATTTAAATCTAGAATTCACTCTAGCAGGAGCCTTAGCTCTAGACATACCCCTAAATGAACCTGAAACCTATCTATAAACCTAGCCATAACCTAAACTAAACATCACCTTATCCCTAATTATAACACAAACCCTAAATCTGATTAATACTGTGGCTCTAGCCATAACCCTAAACTTGTGGTTCCCTAAACTTAACAGTAAAACTTCTGAAACTCCAGATCTAGTCCTTGCCCTAACCTTCACCTTTGTTCTACCCATGTCCCTAGGCCTGTCACTAACACTCATTCTGAAAATACATGTAACCACAAAACTAATTCTAACTCTGGTGAAACCCATCTTATCCTAAGCCCAGCCCTGGACATAGCACTATCCTTATCCCTAGAGCAATCACTAACACTTACTACAACTTAACCCTGATCCTAAACCTAACCTCAGCCCTAAACATCCTAAACATCACTGAACCCAGGCCATAGGTCCGTCCATAGTCTAGGAATGGGAACACAGTGACAGGGCTTGTTAGAGCTTGTATCTAGATGTCCCTCCACTCCTCGTGCACTCACAGATGGGGCTTTGCAGGAATGGCTGGATCTAGAACCATGATGGCAATCTCATGGCCCACATGCTGCTTTTCTTTTAAGACAAAAGATGTTAATATTTGAGTTGTCTTTTCTAAACTAAAAACAGTATTGAGGTTTAATTGCAGCATTGGTACTTTGCAATAAATGAATTCACTTTGGGTTTCAGTTTAGGGATGCATCTCTAAAAGGTTTGCCACCACTGATCTATGCTGTGATACTGGAATTGCGTGAGTGTGATACTGGATTAGACCACTAGCTTGTTTATCATAAATCTGTGCGTAGATAACAGGAAGATGCAACCTGGGTATGGGTGGCACCAGGCAAAAGGTTTATAGCTTGGATGAGATAAAAAGGAAATGGAGGTATGGTGCTGCTGCTACTTGCTGCTTGCTGCCTACGTGCCTGCCATGCCATGGATTGTTTCTCCTCTGAAATGCCCCTCTGCCAGCCCACTCTGGGGTTAGAGACAGCTGACTATGGACTGAAACCTCTACAGACTATGACCTGTCGTGTACCTCTTCTCAACTTCTAACTTCGAACTCAGCAACAATAAAACTGACTAAGAGAAGGGTACGGACAGATGCATGGGGAAGTATATCATAGGCAGTATCCTGCCCTGACCCCTCAGCCTCAGAACTGCTGCCCAAGTGGGAGACATTCACGCGAGTTCAGCCATGATTGGAGCCAGGGGCAGCATCAGAGTTCTGTTTAGAAAGAAATATACATAGAGGTGATTCAACTTGGTGTAAGAATCACCCCGGGAGAAGGTAAACCAAGGGGACTCTGACAAACTTCCATCTCCCCAGACCTCAAGGAAAAGCCTCGCTGTGGCCTCCCCATCCCAGTCCCCAGGGAGAGCACATGGCTTCTAGGGACCAAGCTCACCAAAGAGAGGAAAAGAGACTCTGTAGAGGGCACAGTTCTTTGGGAAGGAAGATGCGGCGAGCACAGGGGAAGACAGTGCAAATCCGAAGGAGAAAGGCACAAACCTGAAGTGATGCCACTAGCGAGAGTAGCTCCTGGAGAAGGGACGCCACCAGGTGACACAGTGTCAACAGCAGAAGGTAATACTGGAGCAAGCAGTCTTTGTGAGCCTGCACAGAAGAAAGCAGGTGTAAGGGGGCCAGAAGAGAAAGCAGTTGGCTAAGTGCCATAGTCACAAAGGGGCAGAGCAGGCAGGACAGGCTTGCTGCTGTCCGAAGACATCACACATGCTGGAGACACTGGGAGTGTGGATGAGGTTCACCCAGGCTCCAGGCAACAGGCCCACATTTCAGATGTGCAAAGCTCACAGCTAGGGCTGACAGCCTCTTCCCTGAGCCCCGACGCCCTTGCTCGCCTTGCAACTCAGCAAAAGACTGTCCAGGCTCTGACCGGGAGAAGCCACAGCAAGCAGCAGGAGGTGCACAGAAGTGAAGGAGGCACTGTCCCTCCAGGGAGCCACTCCGTACTGCACTCACCCTGACCCTCCCCTTCATTTTAAAAATCAGACTCCCTAGTAAGGGATCCCTAGGACACAAGGGCTGCAGCTAAAAACCAAGTCTGAAAGACAGTGAGGCCCAGGGGAGGAAGTGATTTTCCTGATTTCACCCTGTAAGCTAATGGCAAAGACTCAAAACTTCTCCCAATCCTGAGGCCTGGGACTCCCCTCGCACTTTGGGGGACCTTTGGAGAGCCCAAAGATCAGTAGCTGTGCTCAGTGGCCTGGCTTACAATGATGCTTAGGAAAATCAAATAGCAACTACCATGCACAGAATGTTTAGACCAGGCCTTAGTGAATTGCCATAAAAGCACATTCCAGTGGATGGAACAATCAGCAAGACCAGGCCAGGCCTCAGAAGTGCCACACAGGCATGACCAGTGATAGAAGGCCCCAATGAGGGTACACATGCAGGCCCCGGCAAGATCAGCAGCACTGAAAAATTTGAAGTAGCTATTAGGAGCCAGTAGTTGCTAAGTTAAATGAATCAGCTTTGAGTTTTGACACATGAACATGTGGAATAATTGTAGAGGGGAAGGTCCACAATTCTGTATCAAAGGGCTCTGGAGCATTCCAACAGGAGACCGGTCCCAGCCCCCACATCCTAGAGGCCAAGATCACCTCCACATCCAGCACAAATCCCACAGCAAACATGGCTGCAGTACCCAGCACATTTCTGGGATCTGACCTGGACACTGACGCAGAAATGTGAACACTAGAGGAATTTTACTACTTTTATTCTTTATCTGGTTGTTTATCCATTTTCTGCTTGGTTGCATTCTGTATTGTTTTATATTTTGTGTTTATTTTGTTTTCTTTCTGTTTTGGGGGAGTCTCTATTTTTTTCTTTCCTCTTTCTTTTTTTCACTAAGTGTCTATGTAGTGTTTCCTCTACTGATCTTTCTCCCTTTCCTCAACTACCTCTTGAATGCATGATGCTTTCAGGTAACTAAACATTCATTGCCTCTTCTCTTTCTAATTTACTTCAATGCTCCTTTGCTTTCTCTTTTATTCTTCCTTTCCTGTGTCCTCCAGTTTCCCAAAATCCGGGTGATCATCCTTTGACCTCCAGCCTTGCTTCTGTTATATTTGACCTCATTCATCTCTTTATCCTGTCCTCTACTCTTCTTAACCACACCCCACCTCCCACAAAAGGGTAGAATCACTCCACTAAAGGGAAAATAACTGCACACAAGTACCTGGTATATGTTGGATTTTGTTAGACAACTATAGAATTTGCTCCTGTGGTTAAATGTATCAGGTTAATAGTTACCACTAATAAAACCCATCTAGGACAAACCAACAGCCAGCATCATACTAAATGTTCAAAAACTGAAAGCTTTCATTCTAAAATCAGGAACAAGGTAAGCATGTCCACTGTGATCACTCCTGTTCAATACAGCTCTGGAAACATTAGCCAAAGAATTAAGAAGAGAAAAAAATAAAAGGAAGAAGGACAGGAAAGGAAGATGCTAAATTATACAGAAATACAGTATAGTATTTTTATTTTGAGGAGGAAATACAAATGGCAAATAAATATATGAAAAAATATTCCACATGACTGGTTATTAGAGAGATGCAAATGAAAAGAATGCTGAGATTCCATCTTACTCCCTAAAGCGTGGCTATCATCAAGAAATCAACCAATAACAAATGCTGAAGGGGCTGTGGGGAAAAAGGAGTCCTTCTCCACTGTTGTTGGGAGTGTAGACTGGTGCAACCACTGTGGAACTCAGTATAGAGATTTCTTAAAAAACCACGATTAGAGGGCCCATTTGATCTAGCTATTCTCCTTCTTGGTATTTTTCCATATAATCAAAAATATCATACCACAGTGATGTATGTGTACCCTTGTTTATAGCAGGACAATTTGTAATAGCTAAATCATGGAAATAACTCAAACCACCATCAACCAATGAATGGATGAAGAAGATGTGTGTGTGTGTGTGCATGTGTGGGTGTGTGTGTGTGTGTATAGACAGAGAGAAAGATAGATAGATAGATAGACAGACAGGTAGTATGAGTACTACTTGGCCATAAAGTAGGTTAAATTTGAGGCACTTCCAGGTAAATGGATGCAACTTGAGAACATACTCCGAAGTGAAATAAATTGGGCTTACGTGTATAAACATTGCACTGTCTCCCTGGTGTGAGCAAACTCAAAGAATAAATAAGGACTAAAATGTATAGTAGATAGTGTGATATGGGCAAAAGGGAAAGGAAGGGAAAAAATGATTTCAAAAAAGAAGTTAAAATTGAAACAAAGCTTTGTAAGTGGGGACGGGAAGATCAGCTGAAGGGAGGAGAGGGTCAGGGTCATATTCAACTATTTGATCTTTGAAATAGGGACCAAAAGCATATCTTGGAAGAAAGCCTGTTCACAAGTGCTGTTAGAAAAATTGGTTATCTGTTTCCACAATATTGAAACTGCACCCCTCTCTGTCATCATATATTAAATGAAAATCAATATGGATCAAATATCTAACCATGAAAACAGAAAACCAACAGAGGACAAAATTGGTATAACACTTGAAGTCATGGGTGTAGGAAAGAATTTTCTAAAGAGAACTGTAATCACACATAAAATAGCAAAAATCAACAAATGAGATTATATCAGACTGAAAAGCTTCCATACATCAAAAGAATCTGTAAGTAGCATGCAGTGACAACATACAGAGAGGGAAAAATTTTCCAGCTACTCCTCCGGTAGATACTGATATCTAGAATGTACATAGACCCCCTAAGATCAAACTGCCTAAAGGTAGAGACCACATTAAGCAGTGGGTAAGAAAAATGAGCAGACCCTTCACAAAAGAAGAAATACAAATGGTCAACAAATATATGGAAAAAAGTTCAACATCTCTGACCATTAGAGATATGTAAATTGAAACAACACTAAGTTTCCATTTTACTCCAAAAACTGCGATCATTAGGAAATCAAATAATAACAAATGCTAGCATGGTAGTAGTGAAAAAGGAGCCATCCCGCATGGTGAGTGGGAATGTAAAGTAGTGTAAGCATTATGGAAATCGGTTTGGAGATTTTTGAAAGAACTGAAGTTAGAAATTCCATATGACCCAGCTATCCCTGCTAGATGTTTTCTACAAGAAACTTCAGTCATCATAAGCAGTAATACATGCATACCAATGTGTGTAGTAGCACAAACACAATAGCTAAATCCTAGAAGTGGCCTGTGTACCCATCACCATACAACCAGATAAACAAAAGAAAAAAACATGTTGTAATATGTACTTGCAATCATTCCCCAAAATGATTCTAAACTACACAACCTGCAAAATGTGCAAATACAATTTTTTAAAATTTTAAACTGCAAAAACAACAATAATAAAGACATGACTTGGTGACCATCTCTTTTCCATAATTGTTTGGTGTTCTGGTAGCCTTGCTTGCTTGTATGCTGAACTCGTTTTTATATTTGAGGAGATTTTACTATGATTTCCATAGACATATGAATAATTCCATCTGTGTGATCTTCTAGCTTGTTCTAACTCTAATTAGCCTCAGATTGGTCTTTTGAGGGTCATTTAGTAGCTATTTGATGGTCTTTTCTTGTTCTCTCATTTTTCATGTTTCTCTTAGAGCTTCTCTATAGTTAACAATTTTGTTCTAAATTTCACACGCTCTGTCTTCACATTGTCATTTATGAAATGTATAAATGCTATACAGCTTTTTATTTCAGATTGATCTGCCTGGTATCTTTTTGAGGATACTAAATCTTTGGTGAATTTGTCATTTAGGATTTGAACTGATTGGGTCAACTCTTCTAATTTTTTACTTTCTTCCCCTGTATCCACTTTGGATACTTTCAGTGACATTTTTCAGTGAATTTTTGCTTCATTTCATCTTGGAGCTCATGTATTTTCTTCATCTTTGCTGCAAACATTGCATAGAGATCTACTACCTGGCATTTTTTCCTCTCCAATTGGGTCCCCTTGATCTGCCTTAGGAGACTTAGAACACCTACAGGAACTTCTGTTGGCTTGCCTTCCCATGACCCTGTGTACGAATATCTATTTTTTATATTTTATGGTCACAGGAAATCTAGATACTGGCACAGAGAGAAAGCAATTGTTATCCAGTATAATGTTAGCTTGGCTATAGTAGTGAATTCAGTCACATCAATGGCATCAAATGTCAACTGGATATTGACCAACCCTAGGAACCATGACAAACATTCTTAGAACTAAGAAGTCTATGATTTTAGTGAAGATGATTAGACCACCCACACATTAGCTTACTAAAGTTCAGACTAGTTTCTGCTGGATGTAGGCAACAGTGTCAGAACTCAAAAATACCACTAGAGCAGCAATAGGGAACCCTTTAGAGACTGAATGTCTAAAGTGCAGCCCCAACCCACTTAGGTACCACAAAGTGCCAGCACTGCCCCTATGTGTGCAGTTATCCCATATCTGGCTGCCATTGCAATGCTGGAGTGACTTCGCCTGAAAACAGAGAGGGCTCTGCATGCCTGCTGTGGCATGAATGCCTTAGGTTCACCACCAATGCACTACACTAGCTACCTTGTCCTTCAGGACCAGCCCCTCTGAGGATTTCACCCTGCAGAGCTGGCTCCCTTCAGTGGAGTACAGGGCCTGTGAAATTCCTGTCCTGACCCTGGGCCTCCCAAGGAACCCCAGGTGATCTCTATCTAGGAATGCCCCCTATTCCAAGCTTGTCACTCAAGGTTTTCTCTCACCTGGTGTCTGCGGCACAGTAACCCTTCAGCCCTGAAGCAAAACTCTCTTCCTGAGTGATGGTCTCTTCATCAATAACGTGGATCTGCTGCTTGTCATCTCTGTTGCCCTGTGCTGAGGAGACTCCAGGAGCAATCTCCAGCAATGTCAGCTGGGTGATCAGGTCAGTCAGTCTGGTCCTCAGTGGCAGGGCACATGCAGGCCTCTGGTGGTGCTGGTGGCTAGGGCAAGACACTCAGGCCTGTCTGGCCCAGGCTGACTCCTTTATGGCTAGGTGTGCACACGTCACTGGAAGCAGCAGTGCCTGAGGATGCATTCCTCGGCCAGGTCAGTCATGGGCTGGGTCCTTACCCCAAATTTAACCATAAACCTAACCTGGTAAGACCTTAAAATGAACGCTAATATACACCTAAGTATAACCCTAAACATAAACCTAACCCTAACCACAGGTGCACCTTAGACCTAGTTCTAGCCCTTACCCTAGTCATACCCTTTGCCCTAAATTTAATCCTCATCCTAAAAATAAACATAACACTAACCCTTGTGGGAGTTTAAGTATAGCCCTAACCTTAGAATTAGTTCTGGCTGTAGTCATATCACTAGCTGTAGCCTACCCCCAAACCAAAAGTACTGGGCCTAGCCAAAGCACTACCACTAGCTCTAAACCTAACCATAAACTTGCCTTAACCCTAACCTTTGTGGAAACCTAATGATAATGATAAACCTGAACATAACAATAACCACCATGTTAACACTGAGGGATGAACAAGCCTAGCCCAAGAACTATCACTAGAAGAAAGGAAAGAAGGAGAAAGTTTGTATGTATGTATATGCAGGATAGTTAACATGGCTGTTCTACTGTCTTGTACTTCTTTGCTGAAAGAAACTGTCAGTGAGGCATTGGTTGATCAGCTTTGTATGTCTATATCTGTTTTCATGAGAAACCACTTTGAAGATACCAATATGTAATACAACAAGCATTGTTAATTCCCCAGGCATAAGCCTAGCCCTAGGCATAAAACAAAAACTATATTCAACACTAACCAACTCTGGTGGAACGCTAACCCTAACTCTAAATATTCCCTAACCATAACACTTAGCCAAACACAGATAGAACCCTAGCCCCTAGCACTTGCATAGCCCTAGCCCTAACCTCAACACATCCCTAATTTTAACTTTAACCCTAACCCTAGCCAAGCTAGAACCCTAACCCTGTCCTTATATGAAACCTTATTCTAAACCTAACTATAACACTTATGGAGCCCTAAACATAGACCTCATCTAAAACTTAACCCTAATCCTAACTATAAACTAACCCTAGCTCTATCAACAAACCAAATCTTCCTCTAGTCATGCTAGAGCCGCTCTCTTATCCCTAACCATAACCCTAACCCTGATGATGGTAGAAACCTGGCCCACTCTTTAATAGTAGCTCTAACACTGATTCTAAACCTAAACTTGATGAAACCCAACTACTAGACCTAACTCTAGCCCTAACCCCAGCCATAGCCCCAGTCTTGGCCCTAGGCCTATCACTAAACTGACACTAGTCCTAACCCTAGTGGAACCCTAGCCCTGGCCCTAAACTTAAATCTTCATTTAACCATAATTCTAACCTTAAACCTAAAACTTACCCCAACGCTAGTGGAATTCTAAACATAAATTGACCGTAACTATAATCCTGCCATAAACTGTATCCCTGTCCTATCCATAACTTGCTGGAAATCTAACCCGAATCATAATCCTAACTCTAACCTAAAATGTATAACTAACCCTAAGCCAAGCCTTTTCCCAAACACTAATTCTAACCCTAGCGATAGTCCTATATCTAAACCTAAGCCTTGCACAAACGTGTAAACTAAAGCCAATCCTAACGTAATCATGGTGGAAACCTAGATCTTTCTCTATTCCTATTACTAGTGTCAACCCTAACACTAACCCTAAACCTAACTTTGATGGAATCGTGGCTTTAACAGTAACCCTGGCCCTAACACTAAACAAATCCTAACTCTAACCTAAGGAGGAAACTAATTATAGTTTCCGAGCACTAACACTAACATTACCCTGGTGGAATCCTGGTCCCAGTGCTAGACTTACACCTGGCTCAAGCTCTAACTTTAGCCCTACACCTAACACTAACCTTAAAGGAAGTAACCCTAGTGGTAATCTTGTCCAACACTAACTCTAAGTTTCAACCTAAGCCAAGGGCAGTGACGGCAAACCTTTTAGGGACAAGGAACCAAACTGCAACTTAAAACCCACATCATGAAAGGCCAACACTGCAACTAATCCTGAATACTGATGTTTTAGTTTAGAAAACACAACTTACACATTAATACCTTTGTTCTGAAAAGAAAAACGACACGAAGGCTATAGGTTTGAAACCAATGGCCTAAGGGAAAACTAATTCTCCCCTAACCAAAACTATAACCATAACTGTGTAGACCTCTAACTATAGACTTAATTCTAGCTCAAACACTAATTCAAGACCCATCCCTAAGCCTCACCATAATTCTAAACCTAATCCTCATGGAACTTAATATTAACACTACCTAAGTCAATTCTGGCTGAAGCCTAACCCTAGCCCCAGCACTAGTCCAGCACTAACCCTAACTCTAAACTTAACCATAAATATGGTGGAACCCTAGCTCTAGCCATACCCTTAATCCTATCCCTATCCCTAGCCCTAGCTGTAACCTAAAAACTAGCCCTAACCCAAAACCTAAACCTATACCAAATTGTACCACTATCCAGGCCCTAGAATTAGCTTTAACACTAAACATTATCTGAAATCATAACTATTTTGAAACACTAAACCTAACATTAAACCTAACTTTAAAAATAACACCAACTCTAACACTAATCCTAACCCTGACAAGAGTGCAGTGCTATCCATATTCCTAGCCCTAGCCCTACTTCGAGCCCTAAAACTGACTCACTCTGGCCCTATCTCTAACCCTCAGGCTATCACCAAAACTAACACTAAACCTAATGTCAGCACTAACTCTGGTGGAACCCCAACTCTAACTTTTACCTTACCTCTACTCCTATACCTGCTGGCATGATAATCATAACAGTGAAAACTCTAACCCTAACACAAACTGTCCTCACTCTAACCGGAACCTTGGAAGAAATCTAAACATAGAGCTAACTCTATCCCTAACCTTAACAACTAGCCTAATCTAGTCTTAGCCCAAACATTAGTCCTAGCCCTAGTACTAACAGTGGTCCAGAAGTTAGCCACAATTGTAAACAAATGATATTCCAGATTATAAAAGCAAGCAGTATATCTTGGACCTGCCCTTCCAAGACCATGAAGAAGTGTAGTTCACGAATGGAAGTACCTTGGTAAAAGAAAGATATCAAAAGGCAGGCCATACAGTTGTCAGTCCACAAAAGGTCATAAGGCCAAAAATCCTTTCATGAGGAATTTCTGCTCAAAAAGCAGACACTGTAGATCTGACTTGGGTATCCATAGTAGAAAAAAGCAAAAAAAAAAAAAAAAAGTCTATACAGACTCCAAATGTGCTTTTCTGGTGCTACATGCCCATGCAGCCCTCTGGAGAGAAAGGGGTTTGCTAACCAATAAGCAATCATCTATAAAGCACAAAAATGAAATTCTACATCTCCTAGAGGCAATATATCTTCCCAAACAGGACACTGTCATGTATTGTAAGGGACACTAAAGAGACAGGTCTAAAGTCTCTTTAGGTAATTAAAAGGCTGATAGGGAGGCCCTACACTTCTCAAAACCTTGGTCTTATTCCCAGTTCCTGTGGAACCAGTAAAAGCAGTCTATACTCTCCAGGAAGCTGAAGGGACCTAAGGATAAGGGGAAATTAACAAGGGACTCTGATGATATTTAGAAAGCAAATGTGCTTCCGAAAGGAACACAGTGGAAGACTACACAAAACGCGTGATGTTTCTTTCCATAAGGGAAGAGATGCTGCATTGGAAGTGATCACTCAAATTTTCACAGGCAATGACTAGCAGCAAAAACATGAGAGGTCTGCAAAACTTTCCCACTGTGTGCCTAAAGGAACCATGGAAAGCCCTAAACACTGAGGTTTTAATTTAGAAAAAACAACTTATACATTAACACGTTTTGTCTTAAAAGAAAAACAATATTCATTCCATAAGTTTGCCACCACTGGTCTATGGGAAACCAAATTCTACCACAGCCATTACCATAAACATAATCATTACTATAACCATAACTTTGTAAACCTCTAGATGTAGTTCTAGCTCTCTCTGGTCCATGACCTACCCATAGCCAAGCCTCACACCTATCCCAGCTCCTAACCATCACACAAACTGATCCTTATGGAACCCTATGTATAACAGTAATTCTAAGCCTAAACCTGGTTAAATTCTAAACCTAGCCTTAGCACTGTCCAGCACTAGCCTTAACATTAACCCAACACAAAACCTGAGTGAAACTGTAACCCTAAACCTAAAGCTAAACCCAAACCTAACCCTAACCCTAGTGGAAAGCATACCCCTAGCCCTAGCCTAACACAGGACCTAAACCTAATCTTAACCATAAACCTAAACCTAAAACTAAACCTTCCTAAACCTAAACCAAAATCTAACTCTCAAACTGTTGAAATCTAAAATCAAACCCTAACTCTAACCCTAACCCTGGTCCTAGCCCTAATCCTATCTCTAGCACTAGCACTAGCCAGAAAAACAAGCCCTAAACCTAACCCTAACTCAACCATTAATCTATGTCCCAGACCTAACTCCAGCCCTGAACTTTACCTTAATCCTAACTCTTATGGAATGTTAACCCTAACATCTCTAACATGAACACTAACACTCACCCTAAATCTAACTCTAATACTGGTGGAACCATAAACGTAATCACACACTTAAAGCTTAACATTAAACCTAACTGTAACCCTAAACATAACTCTAACTCTAATGCTAACAGAACCCTAGCACTAGTTATTATTATCAATAGCTTTAGCGCTAGCCCTGACGAAAACACTAGTGCTAGCCAGGGCACTATACCTATCACTAAAATTAACACTAAACCTAATGTTAACGCTAACCTTGGGGGAACCCTAGTCCTAAACCTAATTAATCCTAAACCTAAAACCTTAAACCTAACACTGATCTTAATTCTAACTCTAACACTATCCTTAACCTACCTTTAACCCTGGTGAATATCTAACCCTAAACCTAATCCTAG